AAATTTTGTGAACCAAGGGGGTGTGTCTTTTCCAACAAACTAAAAATGGCTCGCGCACAAAATTTAAAAGCTGCAATCATATTTTGAGTTAACAGATGGAAAATTTTTCGGGATTTTAATTACTGTACAAAATTTCAGACAATTTGGTAGTATATTTGGTTGACTGTCCCTCATTTCTGGCCATGAGCCAAGTATACACAGCAATAAGAAAAAAAATTCTTCATTTAAGAAAAAAAATCTTAAAATAAGAAAATAATTTTCTTAGTAAGAAAAAAATTTCTTGAAATAAGAAATTTTTGAATCCCAAGATATCTTTTTCTTAAAATAAGAAAAAAATTTCTTAATAAGAAAACATTTTCTTAAAATAAGAAAATACGATTTTCTTACTTTCTTAATAAGAAAACATTTTCTTAAAATAAGAAAATACGATTTTCTTACTTTAAGAATATGTTCGTAAGACAAGAAATGGAATTCTTAAAATACAAAATTATAAAATAGTAAGACATTATTACTTAAATTTTCGAAGCAAGAAAATGTGAAATGCTAGTGTTATAGGACAACTTATTGCGTCAGGTAAATTTGTAGTTTTTATTTCGAATTGAAGAGACTATATGACCGGCAGCTCACGGTTGATCAAACACTAAACGGCCGGCAGTACATTGACTATATAGTGAAAGTTGAATCTTCAGTAATCAGTTAGTTTAGATAGATAAACCGATCCCCAATCCCAAACCCTTCTCTAACCCTAACCCTAACCTTTTGAGAGTTAGACCGGCTGCCGGTAATATAGTCACTTTGTTTTTATTTCGTTTCCAAAATTTGAGCTCGTTTCAGTTTTATTGAATCGTTGAAGAGAATTTTTGCCCTCCGGAATTTTTATCCAAGCAGGAATAGTTCGTCATAGTTCGCGTATTCACTAAAAGCCTGGTACCTAGTTTACCTTTTAGAACGCGTAGCATCGCGGGATAGCGTCGTTTTACATTTTTGTGAAAAATTTTATATAAATATCCATGAGCCGATGAGCGCCTTCAAGGCAATTTAAATGGCAAATAACGATGGGAAAAGCATCAGAAAGTCCTTAAAATGTTGTTCAGATACCACAGGTAGGAATAATTGTATATTTGACTTGTTATTTAAACAGATTCATTGCGAAATAATGTAGTGATTATGACTGTTTACTTGAGCGAAGTGTGAAAATATTCCATTGAATGTTTGAATTTGCCGCGTTTGTTTTGCATATAAAACATGCAAATGTTGCTTTCAGGCAAGGGACGAAAGATTAAAATATAAATTCATATCTATTATTGTGAATTCCATACTAATTTACGCACTAATATTAACAATTTGACAATACTAAATTGCCTTTGACATTGGCAGTTTGCTAGACCTTTCAAATGTCAAGACTCAAGGCTATATAGTGATATGAAATAAAATATTATACATACGGATGTTTTTGAAGATCTGTTAGCATTTTAATACTTGAATAAGGATTGGAATTACAGGAGAATGACAGCATTTAATCTGATATTTTCAGTGTATAGATAGCTGAATAACTGAATTGCATCCTACTTTATTGTTTACTCTGTCTAATGCCAGAGGATTTTCCTACTTGCCTTGCTGGATAACTTGGCTACTGTAGAGAATGTTTAGTTTTCCCGACTTACTATACTTCACCCGGGAAACTCTGCAACCCTAGATAGAATGTATATGCCTTTCATTTAAAATAATAGCCCAGAAATGCATACAAATCATTAGGTATGTTTATAGCTTTCCTCTATTTCTAGCAGCTTATTCTTGCCTATTTTGTAATCATGTTTTTAAAACCTTTTGAATGATCCAAATTGTGTTTGTATTTTGTCATTGCGCAGCAATAATGGGGTAACTTGATTTCATATAAATAGACTGCTTTTTGTCCTGCCTGAGTGAGTAACTCACCTTGCCGGGTAACTCGCCTACTGATGTACTGATATCCATATTGGTGTATCAGTCATCTTTGAATTTCATGAAATGACATGTATTATTGGTATCGGCAAAGTATTGGTCTTTTATTATCAGTTACCAGAATATCTGTGAATTTCCATATATCGATGCATCACTAATACAGTTCAAGATTGTGTTTATATGAGAAAATGCCATCCTGCTTGCCGGGACAATTTTGTTATGTTGACATTGTTTTGACAGTTGTTAAAAATAGCTTGCAGCTCGGCATCTTTGAACATTCATCCTGGCCCAGCCTGCTTGTGAGTGTATATGTGGAGAAATTTTCATCCCAATAAGCAACATTGTGGCATCAGAGCCAGCCTGCTTGTGGATCCATATAAACACATGATATTTTTTTCTAGATAAATATACCTAATGCAGTAAGATCTTGCTTACCGGGCTGTCCCGCTAAGCGGTCCAGCCCAGCTTCCATATAAATACATTGTACAGCTGGTTTAAAAGA